TTTTTAATAAATAGCAATTTATTGAATTAGAAAACTTTCAATAATATAAATTTATAATATTTGTTTTAAAATATTCATCATTTAACAAGCTATTTTAACAATTAAAAAAGTCATAAATATTATAATAGTAGTGAATATAATGCAAGTTTAAGTAAAAAAAGATTAAATAAAAAGTTTTATTTAGCAAAAAGTGAAAAAAACTATAATAATAATAATATAGAATATTTAAATATAAATAATAATTCACAAAAATCAAATAAAAGAGAAATTGAAGATTTTATTATTAATAATTCAACATCTAAAATAAAAATTCTATGTCTTTTAATTAAGATAATATAATAAATATATTTGAATTAAAAAATTCTATATATTGAAATCAATTTGAATAAGATAATCCAAATGATCATAATATGCTTTATAAAAATCATTAAATAAAAATGTTTTAAAAAACAAATTTGTGAGAATTCAAAGGTACATAAAAAAAATCTATAATAGGTATAAATGATATGATAAATAAAAGAATAATTTTATTATTGAGAAGAAGTAGGAATTGGCAATTCTAGTTCAGTTGGTAATAACTGAGCTTCTATTGTGAGTTACACTGCAATAGTCACAGGTTCAAGTCTCAGCTGAAGTATAAAACTAGATGATTTTTATAAGAATTTCATATGTAACTGAATATGTGAGCGTATATACTAATATGCATTAGAAACTGGTCGATTGATCTGTCGATTAGCATTGATCATGCCTAAATACTAAATTTTGAAGAACAAGTAGATACAAATGAAACCAAGGATTAACAGAAACTTAACCTTCGCTGATAGACCTATAATTAGTACTGTCTCACGTCTTCAAATTCAGGGAACCTTACACAAGTAAGGAAGTGGTTAACCAATAATTAGTAGATTGGGTACTACCTATGGATGGCTATGGTGATAATAGACTGCATTATACTGCTGCAGTACTGTCCAATTGAGCTATCATTAGGGGTAGAGGCTGGATTCAATTCCTGGGTAAATTTGACAATATGGGTTATAGATGCCTACCAAAACCCCTCAAAATAATTTCGTCATACACTTTTCTATGTTTTTAATATAGTTTTGACAGTTTTGGCTTTCATCATATCGAATGGGTTTTGTCGTATTCCTTATTATGATTTTAATATAGTTTCGTCTAAGTTTTGATTATTATTAAAGGGTTTCGTCTCTCATCTATAATATGGGTATAATAGCCACTTACCTTTCTGAGATTCTATAAGATAAACAATGTCTAAGCCTTTCTGATTATGTGTAAAAATACCCTGATACTGGGCAGAGGTAATAGTGATCTAGATATGATATTAGTAAGTACAGGAAAAATCTGACAAAAGTGCCTGTGGCTAAAAGTGATCCCTCTATCCAAATTTGACAGTAGTTCTGAGGTCTAGAGATCCTGAAGGCTAGCTCTTGAAGAGTCGACCTAGGTGGCAATCTTCAGACCAGTATCACAGGGTGGATTCTGGCTAGAACTAATATGTCTAATCACAATTTTGAGAGAAACTTAGGATGAATCGAGGGTCACACCTCAGTAGTACTATTTGTTTAATGATTCCTTATATCAGGTACTGAAACTATGAAAAAAAAAAATATGTTGTTGAGAAGAAGCCAATATGAAATAGTTTTTGAATAAATAATTGATTAGGCTAGTCTGCAATTATAAAAATTATATGGTTAAATAAATATTCTTATATTAATTAATGATCATTCACAATTTAAAGAGCTTTCATATAATCTTTTATATTTTTTAAATTATTTTTGACAAAGTTAATAAGAATTGTATTTTGAATATAATAATTATTTTATTTTTTTGTTAGCTAATTATTGTAATTATATATTATTAGTATATCTATTAAAATCTTATATCAATATCTTTTATCATATGGAACCTTTGCAATAGAAAAAGGGAAAACGGCTAAAAAAAATAAAAATTGAGTTAATGCTAAATCTGAACATATTTTGACTTAAAAATCATATTTTGCATATAAAAGTAAAATTGATTTTTCCGGCTGTTTCCCCCCTTTCTATTGCAAAGGTCACATATTAGTGTTTTACTGTATTAACACACGTGCATTCTTAGTTCATTGAAATATTATATAACATATATATATTATTTATTTTGAAAAAAATAAAAACAAACTTAAAATAATCATAATAATAATAATTGTAACAATTCACCATTGAATAATGATAACACTTCAATTTAAATTTCGCAATTAGCCACGCAGAATACAAAAACTTATTCGCAAAACAATTACTCTTTGGAACTTTTGAATATATTTTATTACGATTTATTAAGGTAATAGTAATATGATAAAATTTATATTTAAACATAAACTGTCCATAATACGATAATTTGTAATTATTTATGAATCTTCCCATCCAATTAACACTTTCCTAAAGGATTTTTAATGAGAGACGAAAGGTTTAACTACACATCTATTCATGAATATTTGTTCTTTATCGCTGACACCTCCCGAGAGATTAAAATCTGTTATTATGAGCTAATTGTAAGAATGAGGGTTTCATTATTGTAAATGAAGATTATTTTTTATTTTATTCCTGAAATCTATTCATTATCTTAACTTGATCAGTTATTTTAATTAATTTCTATAATCTAAATTATCAATATTTCCTGCATAATAATCTTATTTAACGCGATTTTATATATGTATTTTTTAAATTACGATAATTAAAAAATTTCATGATTAGGAAAAATGATTGATAATTTCTCAAAGGTTTTATGTATATTTTGGTTTGTTAAAAAATTTCAGTTATATGGATAAGGATCTAACTCGCTCTACTTTCGTTCTTCAGCATCGTAAAATACAGACAGTCCCTTAAGAATCGATTCTATAAAGTATATAAGATATATAGTTAGGCACGGTCCGTTATTTTACTATTTTTTATAGATCGTTGAAGCAAATGAAAATTTTCATTTTTTTTGGAATAAGATTCATAAAGTTCTAGAAATTTAGTCGGCACTTGTGCTGAATAATTAGTGTTCAAAGACATTTTCATGACATAATTTACAATGAAATAAAATTCAAATTATTTCCAAATTTCATTTGTCAACATTGTCATTATCATAATCTAAGCTTCTTTGGTGATGTTTCATTTATATGATTAAGTTCAAAATGAGTCAATAGTTCTCAAGTGTCACGCTTTTTTATCTGAAATAACCCATGTATATAATTCATGGCTTCCTAACAAATGAATCAGATTTGAGTGCTGTAAATATTCCATAATTTTTTCATTAAAGAATTTAGTAAAATGTGGAGCAATATAGTTCGCTAGTCTTTAGCCTCAGACTTATAATTTATATTCTCACTTTTATAAATATATGAAATTTTACGAAATATGTTTTGTTATAATTAACTTTTTATGTTTCATTGGCTAATGGAGGGAGGATTTATTGAAGGCTAAGCTACGTACACGGTTGAACTGGTAAGTTCAAACCTTTTTATTATTAATTTAATTTCAATTTAATATTTACGCTAAAAGTCCTTTCTGTCCTCAAAATGTGGTTTTTCACATTGATTTTATTATCAATGTAGTAACAGTAAAGCCGTATTCTCGTAACGTTCTTGCAACGGAAACTGCTCAAAGATTTTTCTGGTTATACAAAAAAAAACTTTTTTAGTGTTACCTCTCAATTTTAACAATTAAGGCGGTTAATTTTAAAACGATAATTAACGAGGTTTAAGCACAAGATTGCTTTAATCACACAATTCTTTAGAGAAATAACATATATTAGCTTAATTCCTTGAAATTATTAATTTTATGTTGTAATTTATTGAATTTTTTAAAAATAGGCACGTGTGTATTTCTAATTCAAATAACATTCTATTGGTCGCCGCAATGAACCTACTTTTTTATTTATCGGGATGATATCCGATAATTTTTAACCTAAGGTTTAAAAAAGATTATAATTAATGCCGAGCCGATCAATTCAATTACTGTATGGGTCTCATGTGAAAAAATTAAGTAATGGACCGGATGCAGATTAAATCTAAATTCTGATGTGAAAAAAGTTTCTGGATACCCAAAAACTTTCCTAATAATACCATACAAACACGTTAAAATCGGGTAAGTGTTTCCATACAATTAGAGATGATTATTTTTAAAATGTCCATACTATCATACTCATTTTCCTTTTATTGTAAAGATTATACCTTCATATTCATTTCCAATATTGTCTAAGGATAACGCCAAGACTTTACATGGGAGGTAAGCTATTAAAACCACATTACGGATCATACGATTTACTATGCTCGTAACAGCATAGCGGACATGCTTAATTTTATCACATTTTGCCGATCAATTTGCTGATTATTTATTCATTTTTATCACATATAAAATGCTCCGATCGGAAATCCTACATAATAATTAATATAATGAAATAACATATTAAATTTTATCGAAATATAATTATTATTGGGTAAATTATACTAGAAGCAACATTTTTCCAAAATTAATATAATTATGAAATATTCAAAAAGTTGTCACAAAGCTAAACTTTTGTGTTGTTTAAAATTTTATTGTAATACTTTTATATTATATTCTATAAAACCTAAACTAGGAAATATAATGGTTGGCACAGTTCGCCCATGCATATGAGGCTCTGTTCATTAAAAATTTTAATAACATATAAAGTTTGTTACTTTTATATTATTTTCTACATAACTTAATATATGAAATATAATGGTCGGCATAGTTCGCCCTTGCATATGTGACTTTGCCCAAATCTTTGAAGTCTAAAATAATTAATTTATTATGTAAATTACTTAATTATTTATTTCAAACCTAAGCTAACTTATGTAAAATATTTGAACTTGATTTATTGTTTTAGAAATATATTATACATAATACAAAATATCTAATTTTATAAATTGTAATGTTCGCCCAAAGCTTTGAATAACGTGATTATATGATCGGTAAAATGATCGACATGGTGATATAAGCATGTCCGCTATGCTTGCTCGTAACCCATTTGATTGCAAGGAAAATCAGGTTCCGGGGATTAAAATGCATTAAGCTCTTTTATTTTTAGTCAAATTTTCTCGGAACCCTGATTTTCCTATAAATCCTCCCAAGATTCAATATAAACTGTCAAAAAAAGCATTTTTTTTTTAAAAAAAAAGAGGAAATAAGGGTACTAATTAAGAAAAGATGAGGTTTACATACCACATTGTATATTCTTTATTTGTCTTCAGTTTATTTATTTCCTATAACCCAGCGCTATGCGTTTTATACAAATATACTCGAGATTATCTTATCAATAACAAGCTTTTTTTCCTTGAACCAGCGAAAACTGCTTTTTCACTTGACATCAAACCCATAAGTTATCCTGATAAATGTGAATTAAAACAATTAAATCTTCTTACTAGACACGGTAATTCTTATTTCATGCAAATTGTTCTGTTCAAATTTAACAGCATAAAATAATCAATCACGAACAAATTAATTTATAGGATCAAGATGGCCAGATCCAACTAGTATTACGTCTTTTGACGAATTGGAAAAAGTATTTTCTAACGTTTCTGTTGCGAAAGAATGGGTAAAAAGCTCACTTTAATAATTGAAATTCAATAAAATATTGTCGTCATTAACGAAGAGTTTTTTTATCTTTGTTATTCAAAATTTTTAGTACAAAAATCCTTTCCCAATGAGGAAAAATTTTCAATTAATCAAAAGAGGGGAAATCGAACCTTATTTTGACGGTTTACAATGTCGTAAAAGGTACAAAAAGTTTTGGGATGGAGTCAAATATGATCCGGAGGTTATAAAATTTCAGAGTACTCAAACTTCAAGGTATTATTTTTCGCACCACTTTTCATCATTTTCCAACAAACACATATATATTGATGATTTATGTATTCCTATTTAAGAACCGGTGCGTCGATAATGTCCTTTAGTGAAGGATTATTCAATGGTTACGGGCCATTAGACACTTGTAAAAGTCAACCTATTTTCTATTGGAATGTACCAACGGTAAATTTACTGCGCCATTTTTCATGATCTTTTTTTTTCGTTCATATCTTTTACACATACTACACCTCTTATATTAGGATCAAGACGCCGAATTAAGTCCGTATAGCTCCTGTCGACGTTGGAACGAGACTGTTGGTTCTAATAATACATTACATGACGAACAAGTCTATGAATATGGTAACAAGACTTTGGTACCAATTGCCAAGAGACTTTCCGAAGATTATCATATTAGTCCACCTCTTGATGCACGTCTAGTACCACATATTTTTAATAATTGCCAATTTTGGCTCACTGTTTATAATCGAACCGATGCATGGTGTTCTTTATTGAGTCCTAAAGAACTTTTATTATCACGATATTATTGGGAGCTGGACTTTTATTATCGATTCTCATATGGTAATCCGCTTAATTTACGAATGGGTTGTAGATATGTTACTCGACTGGTTGAAGGAGTTGAAGGTTATTTGTATGGGAATTCTACCGTGATAGCTGATCTAAAGAATACTCATGGTTTGACTATGACGATGGTGCTTACTACAATCGTATGTAAATTTATTGCATTTTTTTATTTTATTCTATCATTTCATGTAACGTTATATGTTCTTTTAATTGCAGGGGGTATTTAAAAACGATTTCCCACTCACGGGAGATTTAACCTTTGAACAAATTCAAAAAGTCGTATATTCAGAATGGCAGCTCATACACTGGTCTTCTACGCTTTATTTCGAAATTTATAAATGTTCCGGTGATCACGTATACATACGAATCTTACTTGATTTTAAACCGTTTTATATTCCGGATTGTGGGGAATATTGTGAGTGGAACAAATTTAAAAAGATTCTTGGTGATAAGATTGGGTGTGACTACGAGAAGATGTGCGCTTATCCTTGATCTATTTTAAATCTTTTTCTTTTATTCAAATATTATGTCTCGTGATTCTAATTTAATAGCAAACGAATATTTGTTCTAAAAAATTATTGTTGTTACTGATTGTATTTATCAAGCAAATATTGAGTCACTATTTTTTAAATTTATTACGCGATTTTACAAAATTTATTTCTATAATAAATATTTCTCAAACATAAAACTTTGTTTTTTTTCATCGACCTTATAATATTTATATAATGAATTTATATATCAATTTTTTTGATCAAACCAATTGTCATACCACTATAAATGTCGCTTGGAAAGAATCTTACAATGTTGTGGACGCTTTAAAGATAAGTTAATTTATTAATAATTTTAAAAAAATCTTTAGTTGCAGCTTTTTATAATTAGTTTAGATATTGAATAATATACAAATTAAATTCCTACGAAATGTAAGCGTGAAATTCTAAGAAAGATAAAGAATATTGTCCGAGAAGGATTGTAATAAAGTCTTTTATAAAGTCAACATCGTAATTTGATGAGTGAAATGAGAAGCCAAAGTTCGTGTAATGGAATTGTCAAATTTTGATGAGTATAAATGAACCGCAGATATTGCTCAATCAATTTTTTTTTTTTTTTTAATTTTTAAAATTTTTCTTTTTGTTTTTAGCTTATTAAAATACATTTTAATTAGAAATAAATTGGGTATAAACATAAAAATGCACTTGTATATACCACATTCTAAATTTCTGAATTGTATAAATTTTGGCGAATTAGTAAATATTCAGATAATGTTATATATGTATAAATGTTTCTGATTTCAGATAAAATAGGAAATCACCTTAAAATTTTTGAGATCATCTAAAAAAAAATTATACATCTATATTTCAGTCTCAGATAAATTCCAGAAGTTTCCGTATCTGAATTTTTAATTGATCGAAAAATCAATTTTCAGTTGCTAGATTCTTTTAAATGAACGCTATGACATCCATTGCCATTATACTTTAATTAGATGATAATTTTTAAAACTTTGGATAGATCTTTTTTTTTAAAAAAAAATTTTCATGTGGCAGAGAAATCTGTTTCGGATAATGACCAAACCAAATCACACCGTTGATGATATTTTTTTTAATTGCTTCAATGAATCATTGTAAAAGAAAGTGGTTCTTTTAAGCGTTGAAAATTGTTTGTTCCAAGGTTCACGATAAAATTCTTTTATAACCGATGAAAGTTCTCGTGTGTGCGGCGAAGATTTATCCAGCAACGCTGGATCAATTTCCTGATTGACGTTAGGCAAATGATTAGATTTTACTGCGAAATTAGAAGATACTCACCAGGATTTTAGGTGGTAAATATTGTGATAACTAAATAGGCATTTATCAGTATTAATTAATATCGCATTTATAACGCAGCATAATTTTAAATAGAAATGTACCTCAAGTTCGTAAAAAGTATTTGCTAAGAATAAGGAATCTTTTAATTTTGCGCTGAGATCATGTTTCAGTTTAACACCAACCGGTGCAATTCCTATCATCAAGAGAAATGTTAGTCGCAAATTTTCCTAGCTTTAAGGAATAAACCATTTTCTTACCAAGATAAAACTTCCATATCCAAGCAAAGGCTTGTACAGTAGATGAGCAACATCTAAACAAGCACCATTTATCATTACAACATCACATAAAATCAAATCGATATTGTATTCTACAGAAATTTTTCATATATATTTAAATTCGCCAGCATATTTTTGATGATTAAATTCGTTGCTATCGATTTGTAGGCCTAAAGGACCATGTTTGATGGTTGGATGTTCTGATGATGGAATGAAGCTATCATGCACCAGTATCGACTTTATGCGAGTGAAAAGGTTATAAACTTATAAAAGATATTTTACGTAGAATTTTTATAAAACTTACATTATAATCTCTTTCGAGTAATGTTATACAAATGTCTAATATTGGTTGATTATGATTTTTATCACCAAAGAAAGACTCCAATCATAATATTCTTAGGGGAGTCATCCGTAAGATAAACTTCCATAATTTTAGGAAGAACCATTTGAAGGAGATAACGAAATAATGTTTAAGAATCAGAACCCTTGATATGTTAAAAAAACTTTCCTATCGTGTAATTTTTTTTTCCGATTTGCTGATTTAATTTAATAACTTAATTAATAATCATTTTTCAGACCTGATTAAATTTAAACAAAATATTATCGGGTTTAGAAAATTGAGCTGTCAAAAGTTTTAATCTATAAATTTCTAAATATATACATTTTTAGTTTTTAATATTTGTTTTTTTTTAAAAAATTAACATTGATCTCGGCTAATATTTATCTTTAATTTGATAAATTTATGCTCATTTGAATTTTTTTTTGATTTTTATAAAAACAATCTCCATCAATGTTGAATTATAATTAAACTTTTTATAGTTAGAACAGGTCAATTTATCTAAGTAATTTCAAAAGACCGGAATTTCGTGGCTTCAGAATTATAACGTGACTCTACAGCGAGTCTAACACGAAACGGATTGAACTATAATATTTTCTTCATTAATAAAAAATCCAAATGAAATATATTTTTTTGAAACGCCAATTTAATATGCAGCAAAGATTTTCATTCCATTTATACATATTATTTTAGAAAAAAATTATTTGGAGTATGTAATTTTTACGAAAAATAATAATAAATTGATTCATATTTACTAAACATACTATTACATGGTATTAAATACAGAAATACATGCTTCTCCCTTCATAAAAACAGCAAATTTATTAAGTTATGACATACAATCGTCGTTATGAAGTGATCTAAAAATGAATAAGAAATCCAATAAGAGATTGAAAAAAGAAGACTCGGCTCATTTGTTCTGGAGGTTTCAGCTTACCATACAAAATCTGATATAAAGATGTACACAAGGTAATTGATTATTTGCACCTAAAAAATTAAAGCCCCAAGCATTACAACAGCCGAAACCATTTGTAAGCCTTTACTGCCTGGCAGTGACCAAAAACAAACGAGAGTAATCTCATCAGGATACTAATGGTGTGTCAGTATTGGGACAGGGCATCGCAGGAAGTATCACTGAACGATAACGGGGTTTAACCACCCACCCGGAAGGAGCATCATATTTTGGATAAAGATAGTAAATGTAATATAATAATCTGGAAAAAAGTATTTTCGTAAATTTCGTTAGAAAGAGTTAAAAAAATTATCACTTTTTTAAAAAAAAACTTACCAAAAGGATACTTGACGTAGCAGGTTGTGAATGAAGACGTTTTCCAGAAATTATAATACGATCGGAATAATTTGTACCTACAAATTTTGAAGCCCCAAGCATTACAACAGCCGAAACCATTTGTAAGCCTTTACTGCCTGGCAGTGACCGAAAGCAAACGAGAGTAATCTCATCAGGATACTAATGGTGTGTCAGTATTGGGACAGGGCATCGCAGGAAGTATCACTGAACGATAACGGGGTTTAACCACCCACCCGGAAGGAGCAACGTGTTGGATGAAGATAATAATGAAATATAATGATCTGGAAAATATTTTTCGTAATTTTCGTTAGAAAAGGTTAAAATAAATCACTTACAATTTGGTAAAAAAAAACTTACCAAAAGGATATTTGATGTAGATAGTTGTAGAATGAAGACGCTTTTCGGAAATTATAATACGATCGTGCCTACAAATTTTGAGCCCCAAGCATTATAACAGCTGAAACCATTTGTAAACCTTTACTGCCTGACAGGAAATATCACTGAACGTTAACGGAGTTTAACCACCAACCCGGAAGGATATTGTACAAAGCAAAGAAAATGTAAAAAAAAATACTTTCGTGAGAATTTTGGGTAAAATTTTTAAGATCTGCATGTTTACGAAATCCTTACCAAATATAGTAGGGATCCAACTTACAAGTTTTTGCAGATCTCTACACGCAAGTTATTATCTCTTGTTTCAATTTTCAGGATATTTATAACAAAAAAAAATTGGAATTGGAATTTGAATAATCATATGAAGTGCTTATAATACTTAAATTCTTTGTTAAATCTTTATAATGTGAATAAGTTTTATATTTTAGTGGAAATTTTACTTATTAATTAATTAAAGTCAATTTTAAATATATTCATTATCATTTATTTAAAAGCAATTTATAATAATAAAAAATTGTATTTATTTAAGATCAAATTTTAAATAATTTTGATAATAATATTTTCTTTATAAAAAATAAAGTTTAATATTTTCTCTTATATTATTAAACACTTTATATAGTTACTAGAATTACATATAATACTAAATTTTAAATATTTAAATATTATATATCCGATATGGTATAGACTTGATCAAATTATGGTAATAATTTACAGTACCATATTCCATTCTTCCTTGACTCACTGCTCTAATTGCGTAATGCTTGATGGTTATGAATCACGTTAACAAATCCTAAACTTTAATATACAACTAAATATTTTCTATAAGGTTAATGTTGGGCTTTAAGCTAGCTAGAGAAACAACTCAACATTAGAGGATTCAATGAAGAAATGTGAGATTTCGCAGTATGTACAGGTGTGTTACCTTCTTGATAAATTTCTTTTTGACTTTTTACATGAGATTTAATCGTGAGAATCGCGTAATTAACTAAAATTTCACAATGTGTATTTTCAATTATGTAACCAGCTAATGGAATTAGAGAACCCATACTAATTCAAGAGAAATATCCCCAAAACATGCGACTAAAGTTTTTTTGAACTATAGCTGTCATAAAAATTCTTCAGAAAGTTCGCACTATACCCGCCTAAAACTTGAGATTTGAAATTATGTGTAAATAGACTCGTCTGATTATACTGCTTTTTTAAAATCTTTCACAGTTCAAGTTTTATAAGTACAAGCCTATAGTAATCATTTTTCTTTATTTCTTTCAGAAATTAATAGACTCAAATGAGAAATGCATGAATGAATATTTTGTCTGGCTAATTTATTACAAACAATTTATTTAGAAATGATTTTATTTATTTATTCATAGCATTTAGATGAATTTGAGAGAAAGTATAATAATAGTTTTTATTTCTGACCACTGAATACTTGAGATATTTTTATTTACCCTCATTAAGAATTCTTGATCAGCCTGTTCATTTCTTTAGAAGTTTATTTAGCTAATAAGACTTTATACAGAAAAATGAGAGCAACTAACAATTATGGTCTAATTTTTTACAGTAATAATTTCACCTTTTTGACTTTATTAAGTTCTTTTTAAGACATATCACTGCAGCAAAATTTTTCATATAATAAAATGTAAAAAAATTTTTGTGTATCCTTACGATCAAATTTATATATCATAATTACATATTGTTTATTTTTATTTTTAGATACAATTGTGAATTATCAAAATACAAATTTATAGCTTGATATAATAAGATATAATAATATGTATTACTTTTGCATTACACTAATCAGGATGGCTAATATGTTTTGTACCTTCTGTATATCTACAATTATTTTATATCATAAAAATTATCTGCTCATCAAGTATAATATCAGATTTAATAAAATTGTGAATACTTATTGATTGCATTAAATTATTAATAATAAAGATGACACTGCAATTAGTTGCAATTATGTGATGCTTATTTATCACTGAATGCAACTAATTGCAACTCAATTTATATTAATATTGTAAATAGTTGCAATCTTGTGATGTTTATTTATTACTAATTATAATTAGTTACAGTATTATCTTTAATTAGCAATATTATGATTTTTACAATTTAAATTAAAATTAATATATATATTATATATTATTATTATTATATGATTCTTTTTTAGCTAAATTATAATATAAATAATGTTATAATACTATAATGCTTATTTATTACTTATTATAACTATTATAATATTTATTTAAAGTAAGGTTTCTAGTAAAATCCAAAGGTTTAACAGGCATCAAAATCAAAATCTATCAAATATTTTGTCAAATATTTTTATTAAAGGCAAATTTGTAAAAGTTTCAAAAGGTGACAAAAGTTTCAACAGATAGTAAACCATCTAATATTAAAATAGAATTTTAAATTTTTGTAACTTATTATTTTTATTTAATAAGATAAGCAAATTATATATAGTAAGAATCACTTTCTTTTATATATTTACTAGCTGTAACTTATTACTTCATACTGGAGTCAATAAGTTGGGTTAATTATATATTAATATATCTTGAAATAAAAATTCTGATTCACTGTTATGTAATGTTTATATAATATAACTTTTGTTTAATTAGGTAAAAATAAATAATAATAATAAAATAAAATAAATAAAGTAAATAAATAAAATAAATAAATAAAGTAAAATTTAAAAATAATAAAAAAAAAGCCTAAGAAGAGAGGAGTTTGAAAGGTATTCAGTATCCCTTTAAAAAAAATTTTTTTTAACATATTTAAAAAATAAGTAATTATATTTACTATTAAACAAAAACAAAAAAAAATTTTCAAGAAAATTTATTATATTTAAAATTATCTCAAAAAAAAAAGTTTATTATAGTAATTTATTATTACAGAAACATTTATTATTACTAAAAAAAATACTATTATTTATTAGAATTAGTACAATCAGAAGTTAATTATTATTAGTTAAAATAATGAATTTTTTTTTCATATATTAGTAATCAACATTAAATATATCACACAAATTATATGAACTTTTTTTTGTCATATGTAACATTTTTTAATGTTTTTTCTAATTAAATTTATATCATTTACTAAATAAAAAAATTTTTTGCATTTTTTAAATTTCTATGCATTCCTGATAATTTCAAAATGCAATTTTTTTTATTTTGCATTGTATGAATCCTTAGGCTTCAGTATTAATTACCCGAGCCTCAGATCATCAATTCACTATCATGTACTATGTATCTTTTTATTAGTATAAATTAATCAAAGAAAAAAAAAAAAGAAAATATAATTACTAATTCATAGTTCAAACTAGTCTTTTATTATAAGCTAAGAGAGTAACTATAGTAAAATTATATATACTTTCTTGTAGCCAAAAATGTTTAGTAATCTGATCATATTATGCTAAAATAGAAAATTTCTTCTCTGAATTTCGTAAAGTAAATATAATACAAATTAAAAATTGCACAATTTAAAAATTTATTTATACAAATATTCTAAATATTAAAGATCTACATGTATTTTTTTATTATTATAGATTTATATATTTATAAAGGATAAAAAAAATAATAAATATAATTAAGTCTAATTACATCATTTTATCTTCTATATTTTACTTTATTTAAACTTATAATAGTATTTAATCTATTAAACTTTCATTTGAAAAAATCATCATCTTAAGGTTAGAATCAGATTCTCATGTAATACAATAATTAAACAATTTATTTATTATGACTAGCATTAATATGTAAATTCTTAATTGGGAAATCTGAAAGATTATATTTTTAAAGAATTTTATAAAATATAATTTAAAAGCATAATTTATTAGCTTTAAAAAAAATTATTTGATATGATATTCTGGATCTGATTTTTAAAATTAAATAAATTGTCTATAAAAATAAATACAGTTTCAACTTTTATTATCATCATTATCTTTTTCTTTCAAAAAGTAATTTTCTCTAATTTTTTAATAAATGCTAATACTTTCAAATTTAAAATCTACTTAATCAATAATGTATTGTTTTAGAAACTTTATTTTAATTTAAAATAAAAAGCAAAATAAAAAATCATTTTTATATTCTGTATTTTACATTGTAATACACTATCAAATTTGCAAAATTGTTATCAAAACTATCAAAATTTTTGTGACCCATTGAAACCTATCAAAATACATAGAAACTTTTAAAACTGTCAAAATAATTTCTGAAAAGTTTCAATTTTTGCCAAAATGGGTTTGTAATTTTTTTCTACAACTATAGTTTAAAATTATTATGTAAATCTAAAAATTTAATAAATTTTATTAAAATATGTGAAATTTAATAAAAATTTAATTATATAAACCTTATAAAAATGATTTAATTATATTAAAACTTTAATAAAAAATTAATAAAATTAAATGTATAAATATTTTATTAAATTAAAAATAGGTTTAAACATATATTTTATATTTTTTATAATTAATTTCTATTACATAAAACTTTTTAACTAATTTTAAATTTTAAATTTAATTAATTTCATTATAAGTTTTTTATGAGTTTTGTTATATAACTTAAAAATTAATTTAATCAAATATTAGTATTTTAAATAATATTATTAAATATTATATAAAATAATTTAATAAATTTTAATATTGAAATAAATAATTATATTAATTTTTTAATCAATTTAATTATATTTCTTAAAAGCTAATATATCATAAGTTAAAATTTAGATTTTAATTTAAATCTTATTATTAAATTCTTTTTTAATAAATTTTATATATAAATTATTATTATAAATAAAAATAATTTT